GCTGCCAAAGTTTGAATTTATGCCCCTTGTCCTATTGTTTTCACTGCTAAATGTAAAAAAAATTTGATGGATCTATATTATCAATACCCTTAATAATCTTAAACATTTCATTTAAATCCCCTCTGACTCTTCTCCTCTCCAGAGAAAACAAGTTTAGAAATTTTAGTCTCTCCTCATAGGACAATCCCATCATCCTAGTGGCTCTTCTCTAAACCTTCTCCAACAATTCAATGTCCTTGAGGAAGAGAACAGAAAACTGTACACAGTACTCTAAATGAGGCCCTACAAGTGATCTATATAGTGAAACAATAATATCCCTTGTCTTGTATTCAATATTTCTATAGATTCTACTCACAATCCTATAAGCACTATTACTAGCTACAATACACTGTTTAGATGACTTAAGTGATTTTTCAATTGCAACATCAACATCTTTTTCTTCAACCACGGTATTTAGTGTATCCTCATTTATATTGTAACAATAATTTGAATTTTGAAAACATACTTCCATCACCTTACATTTTGGATAGTTAAACATCATCTGCCACGTATTGGCCCAATGTGTCAATTATTATTATCAAATATGTTATAATTAAAAATTTTATGTTATCTAAGTTTTATTTCAAAAGAAACTTCTAAAACATTATTTAAAACTTCAGAATTCTTGTCACGTGATATGCTCGTGGTGGTCAAATATGTCGTAGCTTTTCTTTTATTTATTTCAACTGTGTACAGGTTTTGCCAAGATGGTCAAAGTACACACATATACTGCTTGTTTACCAAATTCAAATAATTGACGTTGTAAGATTTCTCCCCCATCAGTAGACCCCCACACAAAATTAGAAATGACTGTTGCTTAGCAACAGATTATATTTGAATTACATGCTTATTATCATTATAAAGAGCAGATTTCAAAATATATTTCCCATTAGTTTTGTAAAAGAACCCAAGATGGAAACATTAACTATGAAAGTGTACATTTGCTAAATGCATTGTTGGAAATCATTGTTCTTAGGATTTGACTATTTTTCCTCATGTTATACTTATTAGTTTGATACAGTTAAATTGCATTTAGGTTTGACTTTTATATTTTGGTTAATTATGTATTATTTGTGTTTTAAAATTCGTATTTGAAACACTTAATGATTATTTAAAATGTATTCTATGATTTGCCTCATTCAACATGTATTTTATAAATATGCAAGGACAAGAATTTCTTGCCACGGGCTAAATTGTCTCCGACAAAGATAACATTATATCGCTTGTTGGGCAACCCTTGATGTGTGTCAAAAAAAATTATCAACGATAAAGAATAGGAAAATAAAACATTAAAATAAACTATAAGGGTAAAGACGTGAAATTACGCATATGACCCAAGTAAAATATTCTAAGATTATTCGATGAAGAAATGGTATGTACATATTTCTGTTTCTTAATTTTAAACATTTCATTACACTGTACATTGATGATAAGCTAGAGTTAGTGATATAGCAGAGGAAATGGAAAATAAAATTAAATATTTACCTTAAAAAACTTTTAATGTTCATTTAGGAGGGTTGTAGAGGTTATGCAAACGAAATGTGAAAAGTTTTAGATAATAAATATTTTTATACTTAAGGTGAAAATAACAGCTGGTGAAGTAATCAAACTCTGAGAGCAAATAACTGCAATAAATAACAATGTTGTATTTTTTTAAACTACCTACTTTTATGAAAGTTCTTGTAAAATCTCAAACAATTTCATCCACTAGTTTTATTTTTTGGAAAGAAATAGGAGGAGAGAGATGTTACCTATGAGTAATGCCCATGGCTGGTAGTCGTAAGGTTAAGAATTTACTTTGTTTAAGTGTCAGGTTACCATACAGATCAGGAAAAATTCTCATCTGTAAGTAGCAAAAACAAGTTCAAAGTCTGCATGAATAACATTAACAACCTTTTTTGCTGAAACACCAGACAAATATAAGTTTTTGAATCAGATAAGTTTAAAAAATAACTTGATTAAAACTAATAGGTAAAACCTACCATATGATCTGACACAAAGTAGTGGATGTTAATAAACAGGTGCTAATGTAAATATCAGTTTACCACCAGGAGAACAACACTGATAAGGAAATGCTCTTACCTGCAGTTAGCATATTATGAGTGTGCTTTAAGTAAATATTATTGTTTGGAATTATTCCTCCTTGTGTTTAATTCACTATAAATAAGAGTCTAAGAAGTAGTTTAACCTTTTAATAGCACTTTCAGTGTATATTGTCTTAGTGGTTTGGTAAAGGAAATTGATAGAAACCATAAAGTGTGTATGTAGGAGCTGCAGTTGCAAGCCCCTGTCCCACCAAACGTGCTCACCCTTTCAGCCATGGGGGCATTATTATGCAATTGTCAATCCCACTACTTATTGGTAAAAGATTAACCCAAGAGTTGGCAGTGGGTGGTAATGACTAGCTGTGCCTTCCCTCTAGTCTTTCACTGCTAGATTAGGGATGGCTCGCATAGATAGACCTTATGTTGCTTTGTGCAAAATTCAAAACAAATGCATCTGAGAATGTTGTTGAAAATATTAAAGTTTGTGTTTTAACATGATATAAATTAAGATTTTTGTTTATTTAAGCATCATGCAACAATGATGGTAGGTGGTGAGAGAAAAAGCTATATTTGGTTTTTAAATTTCAGGATAACAAACTTATAGTTAGAAGTGATAACAGAAAAGAATAAGTATTAGTTTTCAGCTAGTGGTTAAGGCATTAAGTTATTTACATTTTATTGCTGTATGTTGTGTAGTGAATCAAATACATTTATTATGTAGCCTAATTACTTCATATATCTTTGTCACATCATATTTTACTTTTGTTGTTTTCTGGGCATGTTCAAGTGGTTAGTGTTCTTAAACAATGAATGTGAAATTTTGGCAGTGTGTGCAGTTGACCACTAGTTTTATCAGGTCAAGATTAAGGAGGACTATGTACAAATAGTCCTTTGTGTAAATTCGCATGAAAATTCTGAAACAAAAACTTTTAGTGTTGATTTTTCTCTATTCAGTACATTATACTAGAGATATTAATTCTTATCAATGTAGAGTGCATGGTCATAAGATAGTTCTTTAAATTTTTGTTAAGATACTATGATCATAAAACCATTTTTTGTTACTTTTTCTAACCAAGTTAGTACTTCTCTTTGTATATTTTTTATTAATACACACCTAATTCTTACAGCATTTACATGAGCAACTTGACCTGGATGTCTCGGCCCTTGAGTACATGATGCGTTGTTTTCCAGACGTAAAAGAAAAGGAGGATATGAGGAAGATCATTGGTCGGTATGGGCTTACAGGAAGGCAACAGGTTTGTGAAGTGTTCAATTTTAAGTCTGCAGCAGTTAACCTTTTATTTTTCAATTGCACTAATATGTCATGCAATAATAACAGGACTAGAACAAATTTGTCAATAGTGACTTAAACTTCTATATACTGACCTATGAAGTATCTAGTGGGGGGGGGGGGGCTTGTACTGATCTCTGTTGTGATGTGGTATGGCACTGCTGTTGACCCGAGTAACTATTGCAGCTTGATCAGGTATGCACACAAGTTAGTATACAATGCAGCTTTTCTTCAAGTTTGATTCAAGTGCTTTATTGTTACTTATAACATTCCTTGATTTTGTTTCTTATAATGGAAATACTTAACCAAATTACACGAAACTTAGTAAAAACCTAGTACATAGTACTTAGTTTTGGCTTAAAACATATATAAAAGAAAATCATGTGAAAAGCAAAATCTTGAGAAACGAAGGAAGAATGGTCTAAGCAAGTATGAATCTATATGTTGGGATGGGCAATATCAATTCTAAATATATTTTTAAGCAAAAAATTCTTGAAAGAGTTACAATTAGTATTTTGATGTATAATTTGAATTTGATATGCAGGATAGCGCTTGGTACTTGAAAGGTGTTCACAAGTCCATATAGGGAGTCTGTGGTGTAACCTTTTCAAATAAATTACTTGGGGTTTTAACAATGTTCTATAGGGATTAAGATCTGGTTTCTGGGTACTCTATGTTGAACTGCTACTATTGTTATTTTCAAATCAGTTGTGGATTGTATGTGTTCAATAGCAACTATCATTATCTTGATAAATAAATTCTGTGACATATTACACTTGGACTGTGATAAGTTAAAATCTTCTTATATTCATGACCTTTTAGTTAAATAGATACTTAAAAAATTTAGTGTCCATATTCAATGCATGGAATACAGCACAACTGCTCTACAATTTTTGTACGTCTGTGTTCATATCTCACCATCCCTATCGTGACAGTTGTTGTAAAGGTTGGTTTTATACAAATTAAAACTGTGTTTGGATGATGTATGATTTACACATTTTGTCACTTCCAAAATATCCAATTTCATGCTGCACAGTTCATGTGTAGATAGTTTTGATGAAGTAAAAATCACTGTGAATTTGGTGCAATAATGATTTCTGGTACTTATAATTGGATATCTTACCACATTTGGACCCTGCTGTTCACTGACCAGAATTTTTAGGTAGTGTACTATTAATTGACTGAAACTGTTGAATAGTCTCATGCAACTTATGCAGTGAATCACAAAATATTGGGACTTATTTCTTGTACTAATTTTTCCATACTTCCATCGACCTTTGGTCCCTTCTATTTCAAATACTTGTATTTTAGCATATATCACTTACATACAAACAAACCTAATTAAGCTTTTTGCTTTGTATGTGTACATTCACACTCATTATCTTTGCAAAGAATTCTAGGTACTTCTAACAGAGAAGTGTGTAGTTTCTGTTGTGTGTGTTTTTTTTTCTGACCTTACTGCTAGTCAATACTTATACAAGTTATTTATTGATGACAAATGACTCCTTTTGACATTTTTTGCACAGGGTCTATAAAACTCCCTTCCCCACTTGCCCTTTTCTTATGCTCGTAAAGGTGACAGAGAAAGACCCCTTAGAAAGTATTTTCAAATTCTTATCTTAACTAATTCTAGTAAAAATATAGATATGATGTTCTTTATTAGAAGTTTAGAAAATAGTAAGTTTTAGAAACATTTATTATTATTTTACTTCAGACTTGCCCTATAAGACAGCTCTCAGATGGGCAGCGATGCCGTGTGGTGTTTGCTTGGTTAGCTTGGCAGACTCCTCACTTACTGCTTCTGGACGAACCAACTAATCACTTGGACATGGAAACAATTGATGCATTGGCCGATGCTATAAATGATTTTGATGGAGGAATGGTCCTTGTAAGCCATGACTTCCGTTTGATTAGCCAGGTTTGTAACCTTCATAGCTTGTACAGAATTTTTCATTCTAGAATAATACAGTAGAATCACAGTAGAGAAATAATTGGTTTTATAATAAGTTTGCTCTTTTAAAATGGATGAGAAAAAATAGGCATTTATACTAAAGTAATTTTGTATATCTAATGGTCTTGTTATATTGAAAATAGCTGCATTTTAAAAAATAAGGCTTATATATTATGTGCATTTGCATTTTGAGAAAATTTTCTATTTATCTGAAATATTCTTGGAAACAGTAAAAATTCTGTCTTTACCTAATTTTTCTCTTGAATGATATTGTTTAACTCTAAACCTATAATTTTATTTGCTTGTTCTGTCAGAATTATTTTCATGATGTCCTGATAATTATCCCCATACCTTATGAAATTTACGGTTTATTTATAAAAGGTGCATAAAAACATGGTTTGGATTAGGTTTCAGCCAAAGAGGCATAAATGTTGTATGCTGTCATCGTCTGATGGATGTTTGGATGGACACTGAACAGCGTCCATTCATGTTGAAGGTGTTAAAGAATAGTTTAAAATTATTGAATTAGAAATAAAAAACAACAGCATCTGTTTGTATCTGTTGTTTTACTTTTTTCAATCTCTTCTGTTAACTTTCAGCATGGGCTCGGTCCCTGGGACCAACCTCGTAACCATTTTGTGCTTGTTGTAGCTTTCATGCTATAACTTTTAAATTAGTAAGCATATGTTAATGAAATTTGGCAGATTATCAGTAAACACTACAATGCTTTCATTTGCAAGATATAAAATGTTTTTTAAGTCTTAAGGTTTGTAAATCAATGTTTTTCTCATGCCTTTCTTTTCGCATGTTGCCTATCCAATATGTAAAGTAATTTTCATTTTAAGATTAAATTACTTTTGTGCATCAGAAAATTTTCAAAATTTAAATGCAAAATCTTTATAATGTACAGTTAGTTATCAAATGTTTTTTAAGGAAAACTTTATATTTAATCTTATTTTCAGTAATGAATATTTATACAGGTTTGGTAGATTTGATCAATCTCGTAACCATATTAAAAAATTAGGAAATAAATATAAATTATGCCTTTTTCATTCTAGAATGACTACACATTATAACAAGAAAACATAAATGTTTAGACTAAATAGATCAAATCTATAACATTATACATTTATATATATATATATATATATATATATTTATTTATTTATTTTTATTATACCTATCAGCCATGCCAGGCTAGCAATACAGAAGTTGCAATGACTTGGTGCATGTGCACTCGTGTTACCGTATCCAATAATATAAAATTGACCTTTAGTTTTTACAAAGTGACCTTTCTTAGCTGTGTTTCAGTAGACTAGCATTTTGTAAAATACACTTATTTCAATTATTATACATTATATATGTATATAGATTATTGCTATTTTGAAATAAGTTCTTAAACATATTTTTCATAAAACATACAATAGTAAATAAAGAAGTAAAGCAAATAATTATCTCTTCTTTTTACAACCTTTGTACTCGGTTGCTAAGCCTTTAGAAATTTTGCACATGGAGGATATGAAACAAAATATTTTTTTTAGGTTCAATATATACATTTGAATAACTAAAAAATCAAATTACTTTATTAATACCAAAGAATTCCACTAGAATCTATAAAGCTTAGTAACTAAGATGTATTTTAGTCTAAAAAAATATGAAATTTCGAGCAGACTAAAGACACACCCTACCTCATTGAAATATTGGTTCAAAAGAAAAAGATGGCATCTAAAGACGTTAAAATGGCTGAGAAAGCCACTTGGGGGTCATTCTGAGCTTCTGATTGGTTATTCATGTCACATAAAGATGTAAGTGTATATAAGAGGAGCATTTCCAAAAATGGAAAGAGGTTGGCAGGGTGCCACTGTGTTTGATTTATTACATGAGTAATATCTTAGTAAATTGAAAAGATAAGAGGCTCTTATTTTATATTTTAGCTTTTTAATATCAGTAATTTGAGTTCCCAATTCGTACCAAACTATAGACTTAGTATTTGACATCACAAACATCTAATTTGAACCAGTAGCTGCATTCAACATACCATAGTGACACACAAAAATCGATGTTTAACTGTGTTTTTAATTTTTACTTTTAAATTG